AATAGTTGATGATACTACTTACCAAGTGTATATGGAGCAACTGTGTTTATATTAATACCAGATTCTTTTAGAAATTTCATAAATTCACACTGTGAGTTAGAAGCTTCATTAAAACTTCTCTGTGATTTTTCATAACTAATATTTTTTGTTCTATCTTGTGGAACATTTGTTTCGATTCGACTTTTCTTTAAGATCGTAGATTCAGCTAAAGGAAAACCTAAATCATCGTCGCTTCCAATTCTTAATTGGCTTAAGTTTGATGATTTACGTTTACGTGTTGAGACATCACTTTCCAACGTTTTGTTTTTGCTAATTATTGTTTCTACTGTTAGTGACTGATTATTACTATTAAAACGTTTCTCACACGATGATTTATTATAATCTACAATTATTTGTATGTTTATTAATTTTGTTTTGTTCTTCCAGCAATCCTTTACTTACTTTGTGTTGAATTTATTTGAATGCCTAATGATGCACTTCGACTGCTAAGTAACGTTTCTTCATTTAGAGATTTAGTATCAGAAGTTGTGGTTCTTGATGATATTTGACTTCCAATTAAATTTTTGTGCAAACCTCCTCTAGATTTAAGTTTTCTTCTATCCATAATTATCTGACTACGGTTTCATAGGCAACTGTAAACATCAAGTTTTCGCGCAAAATGAAGAGCATAGAACACAACATAAAGAAAGACTTACACTACATGTATGCAGTGACATATATGTATATACATAAAAAATTAAAATGAAGTCCAAAGATGTTTTGAGATGATATTCACAACACATATATTTTAATAAAGAAATACTTATACATTTATATATTATTGAAATTATTGAGAAAAAGAATTGTTAACATTAAACAGGTAGAGATAATAACTTTATCAATTATTAAAGGTATGTTTTCACGAAGAAATTATTTTGTTCTGATTGGCTACAATTCAATGCTAAGACAGGATTTACTGCGGATTGGATGCGTAGTAAAATGGTGGGAATGCTTACAAAAGCTAAGGGAGGTAGAAAAATCGTGTAGTATCTGAGGTATTACTGTTCACATCTTACCGTTATATGAAAACATACTTTTACTATCGCAGTGATTGAATTCAATTGAGTTCCACGTTCCAATACCCATGATCAGAGACATCAGAGACGAGTAGATATGTATGTATACATATTGGATATGTATGTATCTAGTATCTACTCGTTCTGCACTGGTATGTATGTAATGTATGTCTATAGTCTATATGTATGTTACTTAGTACATATTGAATGAGATATTTATCAAATCTTATGTCTGCATTATTAAACTATTGAATTTCCAATTCCGTTTTGTTAAAGATAATATGTACTTGCAAATTTGAAACATAAACAAACAAACGTCAAATAAGAACTTAATGACAGGATTGAATAGGAATTTACTAGTAGCTACGAGGTAGATTACAAATATGTCATCGGCTCATTTATCAGCTGGTCGATTAAATGTAAGCATTATTCAAGAGCAAGCAAGGAAACAATTACTTTGCTTACTTGAAAAATGTGATGGCACAAAGGTATTAAAACTACTCATTCACTTTTATTATTTAATCTCATATATATTGTCCCAACCATTTACAGAGCTGTTATATAGAATTCATATATTATTTGAAGAGGTAATTAAAAATTTATCTGAAGAATACACTGAGCAATGTTTTAACAGGTAATTATATGGGATCAATCTCTCGAAGGACCAATTGGTCTTGTCGCAAAATATAATTTATTGGAGGAACATGATGTGGTCAAAATGTATCCATTATGTGGTGGACATTTATCAATACCACCAAATATTGCTAATGTAATATTTATTACTAGGCCACAATTGGATCTTATGGATTTAATTGCTGAAAATGTTCATGGGTACGAGCAGAATAAAAAATAACTTCTAATATTGTTTTTTTTCTGTAATAACATATTAAAACTGACATAGTAATTCATTTTTAGTGAAGAAGAAAGAAGACCACGCAAAGAATTTCATCTCTTTTTTGTACCTCGGAAAAGTCTCCTTTGCCAAAAGAAACTTCAGAATCGAGGAGTATTTGGTAGTTTTACCTTAATAGAGGAATTCAAATGTGATTTATTTCCCTTTGATAGCGATCTTTTGTCTATGGAACTCAGTGGAGCATTTAAAGAATTTCATTTAGAAAATGATCCTACATGTTTGTATCAAGTAGCACAAGCTATTCATGGTTTGCAAAGAATATATGGGAAGATTCCAAAAATCACAGGCAGAGGTCCTGCTGCTAGTAAAGTGTGGGAGCTATTAGAAAAATTAAATCGAGAAGAAGAGGATAATAAAGCAACATCTACACAGTCAACTATTATAGAACATTTACTGTTATTAGATCGATCCGTGGATTTACTTTCACCTTTAGTTACACAGCTGACATATGAAGGATTAATAGATGAAATTTTTGGAATAAAATATAGTAAAGTATTTTTTCACTTGCAACATATGGTATATTTTCTCTGTATCATTAAAATAAGATTTCTTTTGTCACAATTTCAGATGCTGTTCTGTTACCAGCAAAAAGATTTCATGATTCAGAGGATTCTCCAACAGCAATGTCTCTTAAGGAAAAGGAACAAATCATACTTAATTCTAGTGAAGAGCTATTTGCAGAAATTAAGTAAGTTTTTATATGCTCCTCAATATAATTCCATATTTTATAACTTCTATGTAATTACAGGGACAAAAACTTTAATGGTGTAGGACCAGTGCTTAGTAAAAAAGCTAGAGATATTTCGTCACAGTTGGATGGAAAATATGGAGATAAAAGTGTGCAAGAGATTAAGCAATTCGTAGCACGGTTACCACATATGTTAGCTACCAAACAATCATTAGCAAAACGTACAATATCAATTTTATTAGCATTAACTATATGTATAGTAACAAATATATTTTATTTTTATTTGCTTTTAGATGCAACAATAGCAGAAATGATAAAAGAAGTCACAGATTCTTGCAGCTTTTTGGAGTCTCTACAAATTGAACAAGAATTGTTGAATTGTATCGATACAGATAAACCAAATGCTTATATAGAAGATCTGATAGCCCAACAACAACCGATCCTTAAGGTTTTACGGCTCCTTTGCATACAGTCCTTAACAAATTCTGGCCTTAAACTGAAACTACTAGATTACTATAAAAGGGAAATAATACAAACATATGGTTATCAACATCTGCCAACTATGTTGAACTTGGAAAGGGCTGGACTATTAAAGCAACAGCAATCTAATCGTCAATATTCTATTTTACGGAAAGCATTAAGGCTTACAGTTGAAGATGAAAGTGAAATTACTCCAAAAGACATCAGTTACGTACATTCGATATATGCACCATTAAGTATTCGATTAGCAGAACATCTTGTGCAACCGAATGGATGGTTGGGCTTAAGTGATGTAATGGGTTTATTACCAGGTCCTACTGTAAATAGTGTTCCAGTTAATGTTCCATCTTCTGGACGAAGTACGAAATTTGTTTGTAGTAGCTCAAATTTTTTAATTAATTTATATCTTTTTTACCCACATTGTTTTGTAGGAAATTCTATTACGAGTGAAGATTCCAATTCTGAACCACCAAAATTGGTAATGGTCTTTTTCATTGGAGGATGTACGTTTGCAGAAATTTCTGCTCTTAGGTTTTTATCCCAGCAAGAAGATTGTAAGTAATACATCGTCAAACTAAATATAAACATTAGTTGGGTACTTGTTTATGTAATGCATTTTAAAAAGAATCTTTTTGCAGCAAATGTGGAATTCGTTGTCTGCACAACAAAGGTAATAAATGGGAACACATTTTTAACATCATTGATGGAAGATTTAGAGAATTTATAACTTATTATACATAATACTATTTTAATTGATGCAGTGCAAAATAAATGCAGAGTTATACAAAGAGAATTGTTATCTTCAATAGCTTTCTGTATTTATTATTTTCAAACAATTTATATATAACTAATGATGTATAATATGTAAATTATTATTATTTGTTTGTAGTATTTATTTGATTTAGAGGTAAACATGTATGTAATCATAAGACTTTTTCAACATGAAGAAAGTAAAACACCGAATATTTACTTTAATGTATTCAAACAATGAAAACTGTCTTTCAAATATATTACAATAAAATATCTCATTGTAGAACAAATTTTTAATGATTGCTATGTCACTTGTCTTGAAGATATAGTTGTTTTCATCTATCTGTAATTATATAGACTAAAAAAAAATCATCTCAACATTTTTAAGCGGATTTTTGTTATCAAACATCTATTTTAATTAAACATGCTAATTAAGGATGCATCCTAAATTTGATCCAATTCTCCTGACTTGCAATTGGTAAAGGAGTAGAGCATAGTTATCGGTAACTTGAATTAGTTGAGAACTTGACCGATACAGAGCGCCACTCATCATTGACAGAAAATCGCTTACCATAGAATACACCCAGGCCAGGCGAAAAGGCGTCAAAAAATTTGCAAATTCTCGTGTCTGAGCCGACGGTGGGTGCCGTATTGTTGCGTTGCCGCGGATTGTCGCGTCTCGCGCGTGTGTGCGTACGTGCGTGACACGTACGAGACGTGTACTTTTCCGGGGTGCGGTGCGTTTGCACTACGGAAAATTGTGATCCTCGGATATCTTAATATGCTCGAAGGATCGGCCAAGTTCAGGAAAAAGAGCTACTCCGCCTGAAGAGAGTGCTCGAAGCTGCGCGCATGCTTCCGTGCCTGCTCCCTCGCCATTTTGGAGGTGAATATCATTTTTTTCCTTGCAGCCGGAGCTTTGGATAAATTTCAGTTGATATACCGGGATCCGATCGTGATGTCATACATTCGACCCAAACACGGCAAGCGTTTTCGACCACACCGACAATGTCCCTCTGCTGTATTTACGGGACCAATCTGACGCGATTGCTTCGAGACAGAGACCCAACCCTCCTTACGCCCGCATTTCTATCTCCTGCAAATTTCACTCGACCGCCTTCTTTACTTACCAACCCTAGTTTTACAATTATTTCTGTTTCTCTTGTAGAAATGTTTGTCATTTAATATCCTCGCATCAGTACCGATTAAATTCTTTTCGACGTTCGTCGCGGATATTCTTTTTAAAAACATACGACATTTCTTAGAATCTAATGCATTTATCGACTGATAGATTGGTGTGGTGTGATTTGTATTGAGGACCTCGTGATAAGTGTCAAGTTAGTTTTAATTAAACAAGGAAACACATTGTAGTGACAAGATTTGGTGTTGCTTTAACTTCGCATTACTTATGTTCGTATAAGTTTTTTTTTTATTTAAAAAAGCGCCTGCTGTTATTAATTTAATTGTACAACACGTTCAAGCAGAAAAATATGAAACAAAGGTATGAGATTCGCAATATTTCATTGTTTCATAAAATTATTTGCTGTACAGTGATATGTATGTACTTATTTAAATGTATGCAGTAGATATTTTACTGTATAAAATCTCATACGTTATTACTTTTGTGTATTTGTACACTATTTGTGCATTCTTCCTGTTAATGATATATGCTGGATTTTGTGTAATTATAGGATAGGACATACAATATAAAGAAAAGTACAGATAAATCTTAAGTAATACCATTTAATATGTATTTTATTGCAAGCAACTAATTATAACATTAAAATTTATTACTTATGTTTTTTTCACAGATAGAATATTGAATTTTGGAATGGACTGACAGAGGTTTAAATAAGATTATAAAATTTAGGGTAGAAGATCGGAAGGCAGGAAGACGTCTAACGGTGTCTGAAATAGGCCTCGGCCATTTAGTTATTAACACCTTTACTATGCCAGCTGTTGCAAGGCCTGGTAGTCTTAAGGATCCAGAGATTGCTGAATTATTTGAGAAAAATGATCCGGAGAAAATATTTGAGGACTTGCGCGAAATCGGGCATGGTAGTTTTGGCGCTGTTTATTATGCACGATGTTTGGTTACCAAAGAGATTGTTGCCATCAAAAAAATGACATATTTGGGAAAACAAACGGTTGAAAAGTGGCAAGATATTCTGAAGGAAATACGGTTTCTTAGACAGCTTGATCATCCTAATACAATAAAATATAAGGGCTGCTACCTCAGGGACCATACCGCCTGGGTATATATGTTTTCAGACAAATTTAATTATACAATTATATCATTTACTATTACATTATTATTATACACAAAATTATAAATCACAGTTGGTGATGGAATATTGCCTTGGATCTGCATCAGACATTATCGAAGTCCATAAAAGACCCTTAAAAGAAGATGAAATAGCTGCGATTTGTGATGGTGTACTAAATGGTTTGGATTATCTTCATGGTTATGGAAGGATCCATAGGGATGTTAAGGCAGGGAATATTTTACTTACTGAAAATGGAACAGTAAAATTGGCAGATTTTGGTTCTGCAAGTATAAAATGGCCAGCAAATAGCTTTGTAGGTACTCCTTATTGGATGGCACCAGAAGTGATATTAGCTATGGACGAAGGACAATATGATGGAAAAGTGGATGTATGGTCTCTTGGTATAACATGTATTGAACTAGGTACTGCAGATTGAATAATTTTAAACATATCAATATGTTAATAATTAATTCTATTAGTCCAGAATAATGTATAAATATAATTTCAGCGGAGAGAAAACCACCTTATTTTAACATGAATGCCATGAGTGCTTTGTATCATATTGCTCAGAATGACGCACCAACTTTAAATTCTTCAAATTGGTCAGATGTTTTCCGGCGTTTCGTTGAAGTATGTCTTATCAAAAGTCCAAGTGAAAGACCATCTTCTGCAGATCTGTTATCAGTGAGTCTTTGATTCATATTTTGTCTGAAATGTTCAATCTTTCTGAATTTAATGCTTAATCCTCCAAGGAACACATACTGTTGTTTAGTTAGCTGTCATCTTACAGACTTTCAAATTTACAGCATCAATATATCACCAGAACGCGTTCTCCTCAAGTTTTAATAGATTTAATTCAGAGGACGAAAGCTGCTGTTAGGGAGTTGGATAATTTAAATTATCGGAAGATGAAGAAGATCTTAATGATTGATGCTTGTGAAACTGAGAGTACAGTCGGCGATACTGATGGTATGTTTTATTTAAAATTCTTAACATTCGAAAATTTCTTAGTTTTAACAATAATGTTTGTTTACACTTGTTTTTGTTTTATTAATTTATGTTTATCCATATTTTGCAGGTACTCCAGACGAACAAACAGGTGGTGATAGTAGCAAGAGTAATTCAATTACATCGGAGCATTCTATTCATTCGATGGGTGTTTCTGCGAGCTCTCAAAGTTCCTCCACGAATAGCCTACCACTGCCAAATGCTGATTCAAATGATTATTCCACGGGATCTGTGCGAAATCGACATAAAATATCAGCGGGTGGTGTTACTGCCAATCTTCTTGAGCATGGTGCCAATAACTTTGCAACAATTAGGACGACATCAATTGTGACTAAACAACAGAAGGAACACATGCAGGAAGAGATGCATGAACAGATGAGTGGATATAAGAGAATGAGACGAGAACATCAAGGTGCTTTGGTAAGTATCTTTTCATTACCTTTTGTGTCTTAATCAGCTATTAAAAAGCTACACATTATATATAAGTAACTATATTATGTGTTATGTGTGTGAATAGGTAAAATTGGAAGAACGTTGTAAGATGGAAATGGAATCACATAAACAATTACTAGACAAGGAATACGAAACACTTTTACAACAATTTAGCAAAGAATTAGAGAAACTTCAATTGAGGCATCTACAGGAATTAGAACGTAAACTGAAACAAAACCAAAATGCAGAGAAGAAGCTTCATAAAGAGATTACAAGTAGGCAAGAGGCTGATCGTAAAGCACTGGAAGCACAGCAGAAAAGGGAGTATAAAGTATGAAAAGTTAGAAGATAATAGCTTTTTTTCTGAATTATATAAGAAGTAGTTTTTCTCTCAGCATATTCTGATGATATATTTAGTGGCATTAAAGACGTCTTTTCTTTTTTAGGCTTTTAAGGAGAGATGGAAAAAAGAATTATCACAGGACGAAGTTACACCGAAACGGCAACGGGATGCCACGCTTCAAAGTCATAAAGATAGTTTACGACAAATGGAGGCGCAAGAAGAACAGCGGCTTGCTCGAGGCCAAAGAGAATATCTTGATTTCGAAATACGTAAATTTCGCAGAAAAAAGTTGCTCATTTTTCATAGTTTAGAGCAAGAATTACTTCGAGAGGTTTGTTTGACGATATTACAACTTCATAAATACAAGGTACTGTTTTGCAAAGATTACAATGATTTCATGATATATTCTGATAAATAGGAATTAAATAAGAGGCAACAACAGTTAGAACAAGCACATAATATGTTATTACGACATCATGAAAAAACACAAGAACTAGAGTATAGACAGCAAAGGGCAGTTCACGCGCTTCGGGAAGATCAAGTTCAACGCCAACATGCAACTGAACTTGCTAATCAACAAGATTATATGCAAAGGGCGGAGCGTGACTTGCGTAAAAAACATGCATTGGAACTCAAGCAGCAACCTAAGAGTCTTAAAGTAAGCTACACATTTAAGTTTCAGATGATACTCAAACACTCAACTTCGAAAAGGTCGCTACGTAATAGCAAACTAACTAAACAACATTAGAATATATCTATACATATATATCTGTTATTTCAGCAAAAAGAAATGCAGATTCGCAAACAGTTTAGGGAGACATGTAAGATACAAACGCGGCAATATAAAGCATTAAAAGCTCAAATATTACAAACAACAGCTAAAGAAGAACAGAAGGCGGTTATTAAAAAATTGAAAGAAGAACAAAGACGAAAGTTGGCTTTGTTAGGTGATCAATATGAACAGAGTATTGCTGAAATGCTTCAAAAACAAAGTATACGGTTAGATGAGTCACAAGAAGTCGAATGCCATAATCTCAAAGTAAGATATTACATTAAAATATTTAGAATATATGAGAAGAATAAATGATGATGATTCTACTATTTATAATATGTATTATTCTATTGTTTGCTTCTAGGAAAGATTAAATTATGAATTAGAAATTTTAATGGCATACCAATCGAAAAATAAGATGCAAGCTGAGGCTCAAAGAAACCGAGAACGTCGTGAATTGGAAGATCGAGTATCGGTCAGGCGAGCTTTACTTGAACAAAAAATGGAACTTGAAACTGAGGAATTTCTTAGTGAACGTAGCGAACGGATACGTCTACTACATGAAAGACAAGAACGTGAATTACAACAATTTGACGAGGAAAGTGCAAGAATAGGATTCAGGTAACGAAATTTTTTATGTATAGTTTTTGCATGAATATGACACTTAAAGAATAAAATGTGGAGGAAAGATATTTCGAATATTTTCCGTTCTACTATGTTGAAATCACTCAAAATTACAATTGTTTAAATCTAATTTTTAGTAAAATTCCTTAACGTATTAAAAGATATAAATTTAAGTTTTTACGATAGCATTGTTTTTATAGTTGTACCTATATATATTTTTTGTTTTAAATTATTGCAGTGCTCTGGCGATAGCTGAGGCATCAAAAGAATCTTATCCAGACGATGAAAGCCTTAGTGGCTCAATGTTAAGTCTGGCTCACAGTAATAGTTCTACATCCTTCCCCCCTAATAGTCTTTAATTTTAATCATATTGATAGAATATGTATGTATGTACGTTTGCCTGTAGTGAGTGCATAACGAGTTTACCGACGTTTGATTCATTGACTTATACATAGCAGAAGTTGACTCGTTACGTGCATTAACGCAAACCTAAAAGGTTTGTTAGGGTTGGGAATGTGTATTGGACTGAAATTAATGTAACAGCATATTTTTTAATTGTCAAAATATGTCAACGTGATCTATTCGGAAAGAGAGCTTCATATTGAAGAACTTAGATGCTTTTTGCAACGTTGTAATATTTATTAACCATATCCAAATACCTTGTGAAGTAAATAGAAGTAATGAAAGAAAAATGAAAAAACGTTTTAAGTATCAATCTTATTGGGATTGAAGTAAGCCAGCTAATTATA